ATTTCCCAAATTTCCCTGACCTCTGTAATAAGAGCTACAGACCTGTGGGAAGATGGGGTTTGGGGTCCACATGTAGTTGGTCTCTTGAGCCCCCACCACTGCAAGCTGACAGCTGGGAAGGGCAGCCCAGCACAGACCCCACTGGGTACCGCCGACCCATCGCATCTCTCCCACCCACTCCGCTGTGTGTTTTCTGGCCGAGCAGCTCATCCACCACAAGGTACCCAAAAACCTGGCTAAGGGTGGTGCAGGAACACAGCGGGATGCTCAGACCCAGCCCAGTTTGTTGGGTTGCATCCAGCCCTCAGACTGAGGATCCCAGTGGCAAGCGGTCACCTGGCAGCATCCTTCCTGCTGGCAAGGGATGTCTGTCCTTTGCGCGTGTTTCACTGCAGCGTGCCTCAAGTCCAGTGCTGAGAGGTATTCAGTGATGTGAGAAGTCACAGCTTTTCCCCAAGAACGCACCTCACCACTCTTTGCACGCTTGTTCCTACAATGCAGGGAAGAGAAAGCCCTGGTAACAAACCAGAGCAGAAGAGATGTCACAGCTGTATAGAACACTGAACCCAAGCACCCAAGCGCATCCTGAAAAAGTCTTGTCATTTTGGGTGGGACTTGATCTGTGATTTTTGAATGCCTCTAAATGTCAACTTTGTTAATATTTTTAGCTCTTCTGAGCTCTCTCCCTATATGTGGTAAGTAAGAAGGCCACTGTGGAGTACTTACTTTTGGGAACATGCAGTAATCAGGGATTTCAACATTTATACAAATTGACTCTGGACGTTTGCTTCTTTGCATGTTTTTTCCGGAGGCTAATATGCAAAATACTTAACCTGGAGACAGCATTACAGTGAAGTTCTCAGTTTTTTTGGCTGGAGCATCCGCGCTGAAGACACAACCCAAAAATGGGATGAACCGCCTCCTTGTTACACCTGAACACAGCTGGCCATGAGGCTTTCCCCACCCTAATACTGGTTTTGCCTCTGTTAGTTTCTTTTCTCCCAGGGCCTTGAAAAATCAAGCTAAGCCCCAAATCTTACTGTCAAATCTTGACTCAAGCAAGCTGAAAAGCCACAATCTAAGCAATCACCAAATTTCTGCTCAGGGCATTAAAAATACTTCCAGCTGCCATGTCTTGAAGATGGAGTAATCAGATGGGTCAGGCTGACCTGTGCTCACACAGGGAACACGAGGTGCCGGGAAGCGGGTGAAGCAAAATGCTGCTCGAGTTTCTGCAAAAACCTCAGGTCTTTGCTGACCCGCTACCGCCCGGGGCAGGTTGTTTTTTCAGTGCACATGAAGATTTGGGGAGAGGAGGCTGGGACAGGCGGAGGGGAGCCCATAGGGGACAGATGCCCTTAGTGGCTTTCATGCCTTTCATGCCTGCAGCTCCCTGGGATCTGATTCAGGAATTTTCTAACAGACACTTCCATGAGCATGTGAGAGCCTGCTGAGCAAACCTCCCTTACTCAAAGCCAGCCACTTGGGTAACTTTGGTCCCCTCCCCCAGTCTATTTCAGTTGCATAAGCAAACATACGTGCAATATTTCCACAGGGCCAGAGCATTCCCCTTGCCTGCACAACAGCTAGAAATGGGATAGGATCTTTATTCCTTACTGAGGACGTTATAGTAATTCAAAAATACCTAGACCCACAAGGTATTTGTGATCCAACACCTCTTAAGTAAAGAAGCCCCCGACCCTCAAGAATAAAAAAAAAATAAATCATTGGGAGTGCTATTCTTAATGGGAATGTAGGCCTAAAGATCTTCAGATCTTCAGCAAAGTGTCCCATTAACTTTCCATCCTCATTTCCTTCAGATGAAGATGATCTCGCTAAAATCCTACTCTTCTTGCTTGGCAAGTTTGACCCTCTGCTTTGCAGACCCACTGATTTCGTGCCCGTGTACACCTACCGATGGCACCTGCTGTGGCGCCTTTCATTAACAGATATGAAAAACAGAGAAGACACAACCTTGGAGTCCCCAAGGTGTCACTTAGTCCTAGCGTGTTGTGGGCAAAGCTTAGAGATTTGTTTAAAAAGCCCTTTCTTCTTGTGGACTGAATATATTCACACTGGAAAAGTGAGAAAAGAAACATGTTTATACATTTATTATATACAATATTAAGGCACAAGTTTAAACAGCAAAGAATAAGAAATCTTTGGCTGACCAACAATATCAATATTTGCTGTGGGTGACACATAACGTTCTTCACTTCCCCCCATATGTACAAATAACCCTCCAGCTGTACAACACTGTACACCAACTTCTCTATACAACCAAAGGCAATAAAAAATGACAGTATTTTACAACTAGTTACCAACATCACCTGGAATGGCTACAGCACAGTTTCCCAAAACACAAAACAGTTCAAAGAGCTGGGAAAACCAGCACAAGTGGAGGTGCACCGCTCTGCTGAGAGGGGCTGATTTATGGCAGTAGTTCTCCACGCAAGTGCTGCTAGTGCTCGGGCTGGGGGGAGACCCGCTGGTCCTCCACACTTTCCCTCCAGGAAAACTACCATCTCTTGAGTTCAACATAATTGAGGAGAATGAATCTTTGAGTTTATTTGAGCTGGGACTCCAAAAGCAAACGAGAGTTGCCTACACCATAGTCTCTAACAAACGGTTTCCTACACCTGATCCTAAATCTGGGGCAGCATCAATTGTAAACATACCTTGGGATACCAGAAACTGGAGGGACTGTGGTCTCCAGGAGGCGGAGTGCTGTACACTAGCTGACTTGGAGAAGTTGAGCTGAACCACTACCAGACATAACTGAAAGCCACATCACGCATGCTGATTCAACACTGTTTCTGCTGGACGCCTAGCTGTCTGCCTGTACACAAATTATTAAATAGTTTCATTAAAAAAAAAAATACAGCTGGTAATAAAATGCTTAGGGACTTCCAAGCACCTGGGTATCCTTATTTCTTGGAGAAAAATGATGAAGTGAAATATTCACCATCGTTTTACTTGTAGTCCCTTGCTTTGTCTTCCTCCTGCCCCACTGCAACCACAGACACTTGAGGAAGAGCCACGGAGGTGGGTCAGCGCTGCTGCCACACGCAAGGCCAGCTTTTACACAAACACTTACAACCTTTAAATTAACATTTGAGGAAAAAAAACCCCAAACATATTTTACAAGGCATATATTAAGCTGCGTAACATCTTCCAAGGGTTTTGCACATTTGGTTTCACAATGCAAAGCTGCTAATACTCGAAACACACAGTTCGCTTGCCTGCACAACCTACCCACCACTACTTTGCTTAACAAGTGCAAAAATCAGAAAGAGGGTGACACCAACGTATGTGTAATTCTATGTACACGCAAAAATAAGTGCATAGATTTAACATAGCAATTTTTTTTTTTTTAAAAAAAAAAAAAAAGGTATCAGCCAGGCAGTACTGAGCACAGGGCTCTGGCCCCTGAAGGCTTTGAGATTGCAAGGACTTCAGTTTTCAGTGAAAGCAGAGTTTGAAGTGCCTAATGTTTTCACAATCAAGGACTCCAATTCAATTCCTACAGGAAGGGGTGACCTTGAGTCACCTCTGAGCACACGATCACTTCCAGCACCCATCACCTTTCCATTCTAGGCAGCTTCACATATAAAATCCCCTCACCCTTTTTCCCAAAGCCAAGTTCTTCCTAATGTCATTACAGCACACCACAAGGTTCAGGAACTGCAAAGCCAATGCAAAAATACCTCAAAGAGGAAAAATTCCCCATCAGCATGTGCAATGCATGAAGCAAATAGTATGCCATGACTAACACAGCTGGTGAGTTGGCTTTCTTACGGACAGTCACCACCTCTTATAGAAATCAGGGACTGAGCTGAAAATGAGAAATGTTCCATCCTGGTTAAAACAAGGTGGAAAGATACTGCAGCTCAGCACAGAAAACAGATGATGCTCATGCTTTGCTTTGCAGTTAAATGCTTCCCAGCCTGATCCTACACCCCTTAATGCCCAGTCTCACATCAGCTTGAACGGCAGGTTTGTATGCTCAAGGAAGGTAGGATTTGGCTGTAGGCATTGAAAATAGGGAAAAATCCTGTTCTTACCATGAACACACTGATTCTTCCACTACTATGAACCAGTACACAGTTAGAGGCATCTTCTGATCTCACATGTAGACCCAGCTTAACTCCACTGGACACGCACCCACACACCCCCCCTCTGAATGAGCTTCTGCACTGCACAGCCCTTCAGGGAGCTGCCGGGATCCTCCCTCGACTTTCCCTCCTGAAACCTTCCCATCCTCACAAAAGGGATTGCTTCAGCAGGGTCCTCCTGCCCCCCTCTACTTTCATTCTCCACGGGAACTCCAGCCAACAACTGCTCCTACCAAAAAAAGAAGTCTCAGCAAGCTCTGAGGTTGCAAGACATGAATATTTGCATTGTAAATCCAGCTCCAAGAGCAACATTTGTCCAGCCAGGAAAGAGGCACCTGTCCGGCTTGCCCAGGAAAACCAAACCACGCCACTTCAAACAAATACTTACAAGAACTTGCCATGTACATCTACGGATCAATTATTCACTGAAATTAAGCAGTGAATACTTTTGAGAAATTAATTGATACTGAGGAAGATGCAAGTTTCTCCTGGGTTACGCAGAAACTCCCTCTGGCCTCAAAAGAGCTGAGATTTTGCTCCCTGTCCCGGCTGCAGAAAGGCAGGAGAACAGAGCGGCACTGTGCACCCAGTCTGTAACTTTGCCTCCTTCTCTTTACACCAGAAAATGCATTTTCCTTTTCCCTCGATGATCCCCTTCTCACTCCACCTTCTGTTCTCAACGCCCCTTTCTGCTCAGAAAATCCCAAACGTTCATATCATCGCTCCTCTTCAGCTCTCTTGACTTCTCGCCTGGTCCAAAGTCTCAAAGTATCAGACTCAAGCTCTGTTTTGGGCACAAACTTTCTCTATCTTTCTTCAAACTCTCAGGGTTAGTTTTTAAGGTTGGCACACTGGGACCATCTTGGACCTGGCTGTATGCACATAAAACCCCAGAGATGCTGTCCTCTGCTCAGATGAGGACTTCCATCATGTCCGTATCTGGAAACTCAGGCTTGTGGAGCAAGCTGCTCACTCTGCCTTTGCTGTCGGGCAGCTTCCCATGGCTTGAGGTCCCTGCAACAAGAAGAAGGGAAAGTTGGTCTTCAGCTCAAATTCAACAGCAAATTTTTCCACGCAAATATAAAACCATTTCTGGGGGGGGGCGGTGGTGGAGCACACGTTAACTGTATGTCCTACATACTGAGCACCAAATTTAATCAGGAGGCTGAGAACATGTAATGCTGAATTCCCTGCACAATGACAGCAGGTGTGTTGGAGTGCCTAGACGCTAAGGGCAGGCACAAAGATGGCATTTAAGAGATACAGACCACAGTACCTCTTTTGCTGTGGCCCTAGAGAGAAACAGGCATTTGTGAAAGGTCTACATCACTTTATGGTGTTACTACTCGCCATATGATCCACGGTAGCTCTCCAGATGTATACTCCTATTCTGCATCAGGTACAAAATTTGGGAATTTAAAACATCATGAAGGCAGTACACAAATAATCTGGTAGGTGGTTAAATCTAAAGTGTAATACTTTGCCAGTGGGATGGGCTAAGAGAATGTATATGGCCAATTATCACAACGTACGATAGGTGTTAGGTGTTCATCTTCATCACCACAGTTCTCGACAGTCAAACTCAGGGAGAAGGACACTAATGTCTTACATGCAGGAAAAGCCTTAAAAGGCTATTTTTAGAGTACCTGGAAACAAATTCAGAACTGGATTGCCCAAAACACAGTAATCCAGAGTTTTAAGAAATCAGTGATATTTAGCCCTATTAATGATACACGGAATGTTTTTAGAGGGAAGGTTTGCTTTTGAAACAAGATGAGTGTGTAGGAAACTGGCTTTTTCAAAAGAATGTTTGTAAAATAAGTGTCTCCCTTGCTAGGGCTGCAAACCAGCAATTTCCACCTTTCAAAAAGAATTAAAATTGTATTTCTTTACACCAGCCCCCCCAAACCTCCACTTTCTCCTTATTATTTCCCCCTGGGGTTTCCTTTAAAAATAAGGGAGAAAACAGTGCCTTTACTAACCATGGTTTAAGTTGAAAAAAAAGAGAACGGTCCGGGTATGTGAGCAGGTGTGAAGTGTTTTCAAGGTGTGAAACTCTGTAATTTTATCTTTGGCAGCACAAATAATTGCATTCGTTGGAAACTCTGTCCGCTGCAGGCAAGCGGAGCTTTACAGATGCTGCTGAGCCTGATGGTCTGCAAAGCCAGACCAGGCAGCCTTGGATAATTTTCTCACTATGATTTTAGTTTCCCTGAAAAAACCTCCCCACCACCTTACAAAATGTGAAGGCATTGTCCCCCCTCCATCAATACTGAGGTGTCCCTGGGGATCCGCTGACAGGCATTTCGCACTGACACGGGGATCCGGCAGAGCTCACCCAGTTTCTCGCCAGCTGCTCGTGTCCCCAGGGTCCGCGGGGCTGGGCTGTGCGATGGGGTGGTACCCAGCCGTCCACGGCCAGGGAAGGAGGCAGCAGCAGGCCAGAAGAGCTCAGCGCTTTTGTCCGTTTGCGTGCTGCTGTCTTTGCTGCCCGTCTTCGCATGGGAGGCTGCAGGTGCCAGGATGGGCATGCAGGACAAGGAGGGCAGCGGAGGAGGCAGTGAAGGGCTCGATGGGTGGTCATGGTGCTCCTTTCCCAAGAGTAGCCCTTAAAACACATGGAGGTCAGTCACATCCCGGCTCGAACATAAGTGCTTCCCCCTTGTCCCACCCCAGAGCTACAAGGCGCTGGTCTTGATGTGTCTCCAGCCCTTTATGTCAGCTTAGCTTTTCCCCTTGACATCGCCTGTTGCTCTTCTCCTGACATTCACATGGTATTTTCCAATAAAAAAAGCCTTTTGAGAGGAGCTGCCCTTTCCTGCATCCCCTTTTGCTCACCTATCCCTGTGGTACCTACCCCTGGCACAGACTTGCATGCCTCTGCAGCCCTCATCCTGTGCATCCCCACACTACAATCCTGCAGTCATTTTCCCATTTAGCTGCTGCATTGCATCATGCACTCCTATCCAAAAGGATACTCACCCCCCTTGTTTAACTTTAACAAAGATTTTTTTCTCGCCCAAATTTGTTATTTACTCCCACAAAATTGCAAACATCATCTGCATGTGTCTGGGAGGATTTCCCCTGACTATGGTTTTCTATAATCAGTACAGAACAATTAAGATGATTAAAAATATAACTAAGATACAACGTGAGGTTAAAAAATAACTAGTTTTTGACTTCAGCACAAGGACAAATGTTCTTCCCATCAAAAGTGCTCTGGAAATGAGCCATGGGGGCAATGTGCTCCATGGCTGGGGCACTTTTCCTAAGCTCAAGCAGAACGATTAGGACGAAGTGATGGATGAGCCAAAGCTTAACCAAAACCTGAGCCCACCTATGCTTCCCTTCCAGATCTTCTCTTCCTTCTTCTCCTCAGCTATCTGGTTGCTGGTGAGCGAGGTCTGGCGTGAATGCGCGCCCGTAGCAGCGGCAATGGAGGGGACAGACCGAGCTGGTCGCAGGCTGGCGCTGTCGGCTTTCCCAGGGTCTTTCCGTGACCGTTGCTGAAGGACCTTGATCATGGCATCCTTCTCAATTATTTTTGCATGGAGATTCTTTATTCTGCCAAAATATGAATGCTCTGCTTACAGGAATGGAAGAGTTTATACAGGCAGCTGTCCCCACCCTGGGGCAGCAGGATGGGTCCCTGGGCACATGCCCTGCTGCTCTGTCCCCTCCGGTTTTGAGTGACTCAGACAAGGCAGCTCCCACCAGTTCCTCTGAGGATAACCACACATCTCAAAACAGTGAGTGTTTCTGGCTATTAAGCCAAAACTGGGAAGTCTTTTCTGCAGGGTTAACTGAACTCATCTACAGTTCAGGTGGTTTTATATAGGTGGTTTTACCAACCCAGCAGGAGCAATGAGAGCAGTATCCTAACTGAGCTGTGGATTGCTACCTTCACCAGAATACCAACACACAGGCAATTTACACCTCTGTAATACATGGGGGCCAAATCTGGAAACCCTCCCTTGGTAGGCTGAGTTAACCCCACGATTTGGGTCTGCCACCAGCTGGAGTAAAGACCTGCTGAAGTGAGCAGAAAGGTTCCCTTCGGTTTCTCTAACAGCTGGGCTGGGCTCTTGCTTCTCCCTCACTGCTGCAGAAACAATCAGCACGAGGTGTGCAGAGCCGAGCAAAGCTTGCTACTTCTCTCATACAGACCCCAAAGACTCTCAAATCACAAAATAACAGGATTATCTGAGACTTTTCTCCAGGAATGATTAACACCAAATCATACTGAAAGACTACAAAACCACATTTAAAAAAAACCCCAAAACTGTACATGTACAATATGACAGCCAGATGACTATAGCTTGACTGCGATATACAATATATAGTCCAATGCAGCTGCATTTTGTGAAGCAGTAAAAGCTAAAATGCTGCATCTGGAAAACCTATACGTACAACGGAGATAGCTAGTAACTTCATGTTACCATTAGTTTTCATAATCAAATGTCTAATTTGCAATGAAAACACAAGATCCTAATCTATCTTTAATGAAACCAATGGCAAAACTCCATTACTTCACTGGAAGCAGGATTAGCTTGCACCTGTGAGTGGAAAACAAAACCCAAACCCAGTAAAAACAATCATTGATATTTTCCACAAGTAACAAATACACCTTTTTATAAAAGTGTCTGCAGATGGATGTTTTTGTGGGGCAGCCAATATTGAACAACAGATTTTAAATAGTTTTTCAGTAAAAACCTAGAGGAATACACAGACTTTCTTAACAGATTTTTACTCATCAAAAGGCCACTTTTCACCAGGAAAAAAGTTTGGATTAATAATACCGCCCAGGTCTAACGTTCATGGAACTACACAGCCACATGTCCACTTGTGTGCTGCAAACGGAGAAGTATCTGCAACAATGAACGTTACTCTTGCTGACTGCCTGTGCCTGCCCCAAATTATTTTGTATCTTCTATTACTTGTAAATGCATCTTTTTTATCGGTGCTCGTCGTGCTAAATTTTGCAGGTTTGCTCCTAAACGCCAGTGTGACCATCACACAACTTGGATGTGGGAAACTTACGTGTGTCTAGAAAGCAATAAGCAGGCAAGGAGCGACGAGCGAGGCAGCAGCAAGCCCTCACGTTGCTGATTATGTAGGAGTGGGATTACAACTTCAGCTTTCACATCCAGACACTCTTGTTTCCAGAGGGGGATTTTCACCGAGATTAAACAAACATTCAGCTTCCTCACATGCCAACCTACTTTTAATAATGGAACAGCCTCTGTTTTGTAAGAAGGTAGTTTTTGGCACAGAGAGGCTTAGCAGGAAGGTAGGGAGGAAGTTATCTAATGACAGTAACTCTTTAATCCCTGGTTTACTGCTGAAGAGCAAAACTAAGTCAAAGTGAAGCTAAGCCCATCCTTTCCAGGCATGCATCAAGGAACAGGTGGTCGTTCTGGTTTATCTGAACCCAGCCCAAACCCCATGACAAGCAGGTATGGCACGATAGCCCCTTACGTGTACTCCATGTCCTGGCAGCGCCTGTTGGCTTGCACGATCTCCTCCTCCTCCTGCCAGCCCCGCACCTCCAGTGCGCTCTCGCTGTAGCTGCCATTGCGTGAGTGGCTTGAGGCCGAGGTGTCCCTGGCAAAGCGGTTCAACATGGTGAGTCGGGCTCCTGAGACCGCAAGGGTGGCTTTTGCAAGTGTGATTGGCACTTGCAAAGAAAACCCCAAAACCACATTTGAAGAGCAAGCTAGTGATGGTTGCCTATCAAGTGGATGGCTATCTGGCATTGGGTCATCTTGCTGCGGGCTACTCTTGGCTTAGGTTTTGTCATTAACGCCATTAATTAACTAGGCAGAACAGAGAGCACACTGAAATCATGGGTGACCCCCACGGGGCTAACAACCAACCTGAAGGACAGTGTCAGACATCAGAGGGACTCACTCACTGGGAAAATGGTCTTAAGCCAACAAGACTACATCGCAAACGAGAAACAAAATTGTATACTTTGGAAGGTGAAAAATAGCACATGAATTGCTGCCTAGACTGGAGTGCAAAAGAAAAGGACCATCCTGAGTCATGCACTTAACTGCACTTCAAAGGTAAATCTCGTTTTAGGGTGTTTTCAGGGGATTTGGCTTCTAAGAAACTGGGGCAAGAAGTTAATTATCCCATCCTCCTCATCGCTGGAAAGCCTCACTGCAGTGCCTTCTGTGCTTTTGGGCACCAGACTTCGACACAGACAAACTGGAGACAGTCCAGACTAATGCAACAGGAATGGGAAGGGGTTTATACTGGGACATGTGAGGAATGGCTGAAGGAAGTAAGTTAGTTCAGGCCAGGGGAGATACAACAGGAGGTATCTGTCTTCCAATATTTACAAGGCTGTTACAGTGTTGACAGTGATCTGTTGTTCATCATGTACACCTGGGAAGGACAAGAATCAATTGAGGTAATTTGCAGTAAAGAGGTTTAGCATAGCTATCAGTAGAGCCTTTTTAATTTGAAGCTTAATGAAGCGGTGAAACAGGGGACTCAGGGCACAAAATTTTCCCTGTTACAGGTTTTTAAAACTAGGTTAAATACCACGTTGCAGACCATGGGATGGATGCAGCCATGTACCAACAGTTCCTGCTGCTCCATCGGTGCAGTGGAGGAGTTGCCTTACCTATGCTGTGCAATTCGGCAGCCCGAGACTTTGCCATTGAGGCCATTGCTTGAGTCTGGTGCCTGGATTTGATAAACTTTTGGACCTGGTCAGAAGGGTAAATCCTGTCTTAACTGACTGTTGTATCTCACTGGCATGATGCCACAGAGAGGTGCTTTAACCCTGGCAGCACGACTCAGCAGGGAAAGGCAAGCAAAATCCAGCCTTAAGAAAATATCCGTGCCTTATAATTCCCCCATGTTTTCCACGGTGAAGAGAGCTGCCCGCTGGCAGAAAGGCCATCTTACCTCTCCGTTGCGGCCGTGGCTGCGGCGTTCATGGCAAAGTGCCTGATTGTACTCTCCTCCAGGTACTTCTGCTCCCACTTGGTCATGTCGGCTTCCAGGGCCAGGATCCTCTCCTCCTTCTCCCGCACCAGCTCCATCAGGGCCGGGGCATTGTGCTCCGGGAGGCTGCTCGCCTGGTAGCTGCCCTGCCTCTGCCGGTGGAAACAGTGAGGGACATTCACTCTCTGCCAAGTACGGGAGCTGCTAACCCTTTTTTCCCCACTTCTCTGGAGCACACAAGGTCATCCCCATGTCTTTTGACAGGGGCAGGTAGAAGCCCCAAGCTGAACCCCTTAGATTCCAGGAGGACCCGCAGGTTGACCATGTATGCAACCCCAGCACACACTTCTCCGGACCGTGCTGACAGAAGTAGGGATCTGGCTGCTCCCTGGTTGTGCAGGATTTCATGGGATACCCCAAGCCAAGGGGAAAAACGGGAAAAAAAGCCAGTAGGGAAAAGAAGCAATGAAGCTTTAAAAGATACTCTTCTTGCTGGGACTTCATCACACAGCTGGGCAGTGCCCGGTATGGACAAGCAATTATTACTAGAGTGTTTATACATAAAAGCAGAAAAAAAAGCGAGCTGTAACCTAGCTACATGTAACATATTCAAAACAGCAGCTCGGGAAATACCCTGGACACAGATTTATGTCTGTCTTTTTTGGCACATTAGTTCTCATGTGCCCTCAGAAGATGCTTTCTGTGGTGCAGCAGGTAACTTTCCAACTGGAGAGGTAAAAGATCCCCAGGCACTGAGGGGGGACTCCCATGAGATGCTGACAAGCAGCCACAGGTGCATAACCCTTTGCATCTACACTGTGAGGAAAGCACTTACCCAGGCAGAATTTATGCTACGCCATTACAGCCACTTAATTAAAGGACCTAAGCAGCACAGGTAGCTGCACCAAGCTCCTGTCACTGCTGGTGGAGAGTGGAGGTGGATGGAGATCCAGCCCTTAGCTCAGGGGAGTTTGGGTGGGATGAGCCCACGCTGGGGAGAGAGGCACAAAGCTCCGGGAGAAGTCAGAATAAGTAAATGGTTTTTTTTTCCAATAAAAAATGCAAGAGATTTATTACACTCCACAGTGCACAGGATTGTGTTAAAGGGGAAACCATGTCTCGGCAGCACTGGCTTCTCATCCATGCTACACCACGAACTTCCACCAGCAAAGCCGTTCTCTGGCACAGCACCAGCACCAGTGAGGGCTGCAGCAACCATTTCCATTTTCCAAACCACAGTTCCTCCTTCCAGACACTTATCTCCTACTTACAAGAAACTAGAGATACCAGGAGAGGGCTGCAGCCTTTGCCTTTGGTGCGGTAACAACATGTTTGTGAGCTGCTTTCTAGAAATGCAATATGGAGCAGCCCTTAGAAGCAATGGCTGCAACTCTGCTCCTGCAAAAATCAGCACCCACACTTCTAATATTGTCAGCCCCCTGGCAGAACGGTAATCTTTTGGAAGCATGGCCCTGGTCTGTAAATGGCATCTTGGGACATCATGGGTACCTGTCACCTTCTCAGTCAAAACCTCTGCCAGCCCCATGCACTCAGCCTGCAATGCTAAGTCAAAAAAATAATTAAAAAATGAAGCAATCTGTAAGTTACATTTTCTGCTAAAATGAGCAGACATAGCCTAAACTCCCAGGACAAGGACTTTGTCAACAGTCTATCCCATCTACTTAACAATTTGTCCCTACATTCCAGCCCGGAGAACAAAACCTTTTCTAGTTCTAGAATTCACTTGAATTTTAACTGTATTTTCTCAAATCTTCTTTCATTTACACCAGCATTAGCATCTCACACCCCATGTAATTTCTTTTGAAGTTGGAGGAGAGCAGGCTAAGGGGCAAATAAGAAGAGCTACTGGAAGAAGACAGGAACAGCAAGTCCATGATGGAGAGGACAAGAAAGAATTAACATACTTATATGGCAGCAAGGAAGAGCCAAGATGGATGGGAAGGGTCTCCAGGGAGCAGCAGTGACAGTGATGCTGTTGGAGGGGTGTGGGGGAACCTGCCCTGCGGCTGCCGGTGAGAAGGGGATGGATGCTCAAGTCCGGCCACCTAATGATTCTGCAACTGCTGATACTGCCTGTAGAGCTATTTCCCAATTGCATCCTGCCGGCAGGATCAGCCCTTCTGCTTTCTGGGAGCGCAAGCTCTGTGTAACAGTTGCTTTGGTCTCCGCTAATGGCTCATAAATAAGGAAGGGTTATTGTAGCAGATGCGTGCATTGACAGAGATATGAGTGAGCCCTTTCAAGAGTTACAAGACCATCATGCTTTGCTTATGTTGCTGGTTTTTCCCCAAGCGGTGGTTTGATACACTTAGTACATCTGCTCGCTCTCCTCTGGAGGTAATGCCCATGTATTTGGCACTTGGTGACGGCTGTAGCCTGGAAATCCTCCCTGCAACCACCTTGTGCTTTTTTTTTTTTTTTCCTTTTTCACAGATGACTGGACTTTGAGACTTGGGGATGGAGGAGGAATAACAAAGGAATACCTGTGCATAAAATAAAAGTGTAACACTATCCCTCTAAAGACACACAGCTGCCAAAAAACAAGGGGATGTACACAGAAATGCAAACCTACACTTCTAGCCCATTCTGGACTGGACTGATACTTGAATAATTTATTGTCTGAAGATGACACCATTTGTCTCCAGATCTGTCATGGGTAGAGGTTTCTGTGAAACAAGTACACCAGCTTTGCCCAGAACAAATATGGTCCAAGCCCTTGCTCCCACCTAATGCATACCATCCATGTTGCTTTTTCAATGAAAGATCAGCCAAAGTCTGTGGGCTGAATCTCATGCCCGTATGTACCACACCTTTCTTCTCCTCCTTAGTCATGGAACTGATCTTGCACAATCTGTGACTGCTAGAGAGAAACCTGAAAGGACATTGTCCCCTGGCAGGTGTGGGGGGACACATAGGGGCAGAGCCCTGTCTGCCCTTGGTCAGGGGAGCCAGGACCTCCCAGCCCCACAACAGGCAGGGCCCAGCTGTGTCCAGCAGCCCCACTGTGGAGCTCCCCCACTCTCCACTGAAAATCTGAGTTAGAATCATAGAGCAGTTTGGGTTGGAAGGGACCTTCAAAAATCACCTAAGTCCACCCCCCCCCGTCCTGGGCAGGGACATCTTCCACTAGATCAGGTGGCTCAAAGCCCTGTCCAACCTGACCTTGAACACTTCCACTGATGGGGCATCCACAACCCCATCCAATGGAAAGGCTTAGGTGGAAACCCCAATGACCTGAACCCAAAAGCAAGGTTGCACCTGGCAGGACTGCAAGCAATCGTCCCTCTTTAAAAGTAACACCGAAGGCCCCATGCTGGGGTCCCACAACAACCACTTTGTCCTCACCTGCTGCATCCGCAGCGAGTCCAGCTCTCGCTCCAGGCGTGTGCGCAGCCGCCGCTCCATCTGCTCCCTCTTCTCCCAGGCTGCCTGCAGCTGGGTCAGCGCCTGCTGCAGCTTCTCCACCTTCTCCACATAGGCCTGCTTCCTGCGCAGCTGCGGGGGACAGGGGGTCAGCAGTGCTGGGGGGCACCGCACACCCACCCTGGGCCGCTGGGTTCCCCCCCCCGACTTGCAGGTGCACCTTGGGTGCAAGCATGACTTTGGCCATTTGCTTCACAGAGTTTCTCCAGGGGAAGGATGATGCCCCTTTGATGGGCAGGAAAAGGGCACAGCAGGCATCACCAGGGCAGCTCTACCCCTTTCAGAGGGAACGCTGCCCATATCTTGCACCCATTGGGGATCTGCTAGCCACGAAACCTCCTGGCCAGTTCTAAGCAAGAGCTGTCATGTTCATGGATACTCTTTGGGCAAGCACACAGACTGGCCTCAGCTAAGAGGAATCCCAATGGGGTTTTATTGACTGGTGACACTTGGCACATTGTCTGCACCCACAGAGTCTCTTTTTTTCAGCCCTGCATATCTGCTCAATGCAGGTGGAGCAAGCGGAGTGCCAGCAGCTGGAAGTGCTCCACCTGCTCTATCCTGCTCATGGACTCGGCCATGCCAATGTATAGATGTGCTGGCAGCTAAAGCTGGGCCCTCCTTGTGTATGTAATGCAATTATTGAAGGGCTAAGCATGACACAAGGATTTTGCAATACAGGGTGTTACAGCCAGAGATTACTCGAACAGCATACCCCAAAAGGAATGTGCAAGTGGACTGCATTTATTCAGGGTCCTTAGCGGCTATCCCCACTTCTTCTGGCCTCCTACCATGTCACCGGGCACTCAGTGACACCACAGGATATTGTGATGGGCAGCAGCTGGCATGCTTGAGAGCCCTCAGGGAGAGGAGGATGCAGAGGCCGGACACACTGGGCATCAGCTGTGCCGTGCACTGGGATGGGCAGCAAAGCCTGTGCTAAAACATGACACCCAGCCAAAATCTGGTACCAAGAAGGGGCGAGCTCACTCACAGAGGGCAGGCACACCTGGGTGTCTGTGAGCAGTCCTCATCCCCAGGGACCATAGACACTGACCCAAAACCTCACCCGCAGTGCTGCCTGCTCACCCCATTGCACCCCAGCCTCAGGAAACCTAGTTCTCCTCTTCTCCTCCAATCTTCTGTCATGAATTTTCTCTTCATAAGCATGAATAAATTTACCTTTCTCAAGATATCTGCCTTGTAGTAGAGAAAGCAACAGCACACACAAACACAAGCTGTAAACCCCCAAAGACCCCGATGAACCCCAAAAGACCCCAAAACACTCTTGACTTAACTCCCTGACTCAGAAAGGGGGGCTGAATCGGTTTGAGTGCTGAGATGTTGCCAAGCCTCAGTCGGACCCCAGCTGCAGCCTAGGGGTTAATGGGCAACGTTCGAGGTCACTGCCATGATCACTAAGATCCTCTTTAGGACTTCTAGTCTCCCTCATTTATTTATACACTTGTTTGAGACCTGAAGTTTTTCAGAAGCAAAACAAGAGGCAGAAAAAAGCATTAACCCCAGTCGACACTGAGGATCTAGATAAATAAGAGAGGCTGAAGGGGTGCTGTAAGCTGGCAAGGCCAGGGCCAAAACCATATCCTAGCGCCTACCTCTTTTTAAGTACTTAAATCACTATTGAAATTAACTGCAATGTGGGTTATGATATAGGACCTACAGCCACAAAATATCTGTCTAAATATCTAGTGGATGTAGTAAGAAGTTTGCTGCCTTGTTCCTCGGCATATGAAGCAAATAAACACCAGCGGTGGATTCCCCCAGCTCTGCGAGGCTCCCCTTCACCCGGAATCCTCTGCTTAGCCCAGGACTCGCGTGCTGCAATGAAGTTTTATTTTTACTTGTGTGATTCATCTAGGTCCCCTCCCACTGATTACAATGATAACAACATCACTTTTTCTTGAAATTCCTCTTCTGCCACCCTAAATCCATGCATGTCACAGGTGAAGTGTAATATGGGCTTGTTCACAGCAAAAACAAAGCTTGGCTTAAACAAACCTCCCCAGTCAGAGCTGACAACTGGCAGTGTGACCTCCCTACCCCTGCTGTAATCTGGGCTAATGCTTACAGCTCCCTGGGCTTTCCATGAAAATTAATGAGATTATAATCCCCACTAGTCTCTGGCAGCAGCACGAAGATTGCATTCCTCAGGAGCTCACGACTTGCCAAGACAGACATAGCAGTGGCTTCTTGCTGAATGTGTTATTTTGGCAGTAGGAAGGCATCTGTGCCACCTCCCAGACACACCAGTGTGGATCAGAGAGGGAAAGGGGGCTCCCCTGGGGTCCCTCCTTAACAGCAGACCTCATCCGCTCCCCCATATCCTGACGAACGATGGAGGGTCCATCTGTATCACAGCAGCCAGAATTTGGCTTTGCAGCAGCCCACTAAGCCCCAGGGTTCACACACTCACGCATGAGTGCACCTCTGCCCATGTGGGTGAGGCGATGCACATGCATCCACCGCCTTAGAAAACAATTTTGTTGGAGATATGCAACAAGACAGTTCCCACATTCACGAATTTAGAGGGAGTTTCTTGAGCCAATCCTGACTTTTCTATCCTGCCTGTAGATTCATAAGCAAAAAACTCACCCACACATTTAAAAAACAAAGTGTCATTTGAATTTATGGGCTTGTCAGTGCACTATGCATCCATAAGGCAGGGGGACTGCCATCAGAAATACATGACAGTAAGCTCCACTACCTCACAGAAGCACAGATTCAGATAAATAAAAAAAAGCTGGATGGCACCTGGAGAGGTACCAGTCCATCCGCCCGCTGCAAGGTAGGATCAACTCTACCTAAAACCTGGCGCATGTCTGTGTAATCTTTTTATAAAACCTTCCAGGGGTAGGGACTCCACAGCCTCCCCCTGCAAACTACTTCATGGCTTATTTTCCTTTACTGCCAGAAAACTTTTACCCTAATGCCTAATCTGGTTTTCTCTTATGCAATTTAAGCAAATTACTTCTTGTTCTGTTTCCAAATTGTGATCTACTAGAGCAAGAAGCATTTAATGAAACAATTCACATATTCACAAGATCAGCAAACTTGCCTGAACACTGCTCTTGTCCCAGAGATTAGGAAAATAAAGATGAAGAAGAGCTAAGGCTAAAAAGGGATGATCTAAGCAAATCAATCTGTGTAAACATGAGTGGGTCTTGGAAAAATATCTGCACTAGGAATGTAACTCCAGTTTGAGCTACAGAATATCTATTCTATAGATATGAGATTTGAGTTAAAGACTGTAAGAGATGGAGAATCCACTATTACCCTAAATGGGTTGTTTCAGTGTTAATTACTCTAACTCTTTATTTCCAGCCCAGCTGGAAATATTTGCCCAGCTTTAGCACCCAAACACTGCTTCTTATTATTTTTTCTTATGTTAAAGAGCAACATTTAATCTGGCTGACAGCAATCCCTTCTTCATGTTCATGCGCATGGACTGGAGCCCAGCCACCTCTTCACTTTTATTGTTCACAGCAAAGAACAGCTTCTGGGCCCCAAATAAATTCTACAGCTGTTTTCTGAAGCCTCTCCAAGTATACAGTCTTCTATCCGAAGCGTGGACCAGACACACAATTCCAGCAGCAGTCTCCTAAATGACATGTGGTGATAATACCACCTACATATTTATGAATTAAATCCTTCTACTAGCAGGCACTCAGGATAATGTAGATTTACACAGTACACTATCTTATGTTAATTCAACTTAGTAGTTACTGCTTATTTCTCAAGCTTTCATTTAAAAAGCTTTTAAACTTAATTACATTCTGGTGGTAGAAGAAATCTGGGTGGATTTACAAAGCAGTGCATGAGGTAGAGCTCTGTTAATAATAATAGTAACTTTCATTTGAGTGATTTCATGTTTCCTTCAATATATTCCAAATTACAGTAAAAATCCCTGGTTTAAGATGAAGGTTCAAAATGTCAATGATATCTGCTGCATATGTGTCAAACTGCAGACTGTTGAAAAGGTGCTCTGATTTAGTGACGAAACAGGCCAAAAGCAAGGGACAGGGAGCACAGAAGCTTGGGCACACAAGCCACAGATTAAGTGCACTTCACTTGAGCTGCATGACATTGCCTTGAACAATTAAAACACAGTATCTGGGATAAAATTCATTTGAACTCCCCCTAGAATGAAAAAAGCAGTTGAATGCTACCAAGTCAACATGGATTGGCTCAGTCTGAGGGCTCTGACACACAAACTTTGGTGAACACCATAGCATCTCCTTCACATGTTGTAACCCTCGAGATCTACCATGCCCTATGCAACAGGTTACCACCTCCGTAACATCTACCGTGAACATACCTGAACCTGAACATACATAAGTCTATGGGACCTGATGAGATGCAACCCAGAGTTCTGAGGGAACTGCCTGATGTAGTTGTCAAGCCACTCTCCATTATATTTGAAAGCCATAGCAGTCAGGTGAAGCCCTCAGTGACTGGAAAACGGTAAACATTGCACCCATTTTTAAAAAGGGTAGAAAAGAGGACCCTGGGAACTACTGACCAGTCAGCCTCACCTCTGTGCCTGGGAAGATCATGGAACAGATCCTCCTAGACACTAATGCACAGGGAGGACAGGGAGGTGATTTGAGACAGCCAGCATGGCTTCATCAAAGGCAAGTCCTGCCTGACCAACCTAGTGGCCTTCTATGATGGAGTGACTACATCAGTGGACAAGGAAGAGCTACAGATGTCATCTATCTGGACTTCTGTAAGGCCTTTGACATGATCCCCCACAACATCCTTCTCTCTAAATTGTAGAGATGTGGATTTGATGGGTGGAGTGTTTGGTGGGTGAGGAACTGAGTGCATGGTCACATCCAGAGGGTAGTGGTCAATAGCTCAATGCCCAGGTGGTGATCGGTGACAAGTGGTGTCCCTCAGGGGTCTGTAGTGGGACCAGTACTGTTCAGTACCTTCATCAATGACCTAGACAGTGGGATCGAGTGCACCCTCAGCAAGTTTGCAGACAACACCAAGCTGAGTGGTGTGGCTGACACGCCCGAGGGACAGGATGCCATTCAGAGGCACCTGAAAAAGCTTGAGAAGTGGGCCCATGTGAACCTCATGAGGTTCAACAAGGCCAAGTGCAGGGTCCTGCATCTAGATCAGGGCAATCCCCAGTATAAAGATAGGCTGGGGATGAAGTGATTGAGAGCAGCCCTGCCAAGAAGGACTTGGGGGCAGTGGTGGATGACAAGCCAGACATGAGCTGGCAATGTGTGCTCATGGCCCAGAATGCCACCTGTGTCCTGGGTTGCATCAAAAGAAGCATGGCCAGCAGGTTGAGGGAGGTGATTTTGCCTCTCTACTCCTCTCTGGTGAGAAACCACCTGGAGCCCTCAGCACAGGAAAGACATGGACCTGGCTAGAGCAGGTCCCGAGAAGGGCCACAAATATGACCAGAGGGCTGGAGCACCTCTCCTGTGAGGAGAGGCTGAGAGAGTTGGGGTTGTTCATCCTGGGGAAGAGGAGGCTCCGGGGAGACCTCATTGTGGCCCTTCAGTACTTAAAGGGGGCCTATAGGAAAGATGGGGACAACCTTTTCAGCAGGGCCTGTTGTGATAGGACAAGGCATAATGCTTTTAAACTAAAAGAGGGGAGATTCAGACTAGATATAAGGAAGAAATTTTTTACACTGAGGGTGGCAAAACACTGGCATGGGTTGCCCAGAGAGGTTGTAGATGCCCCACCCCTGGAAACATTCAAGGTTAGGATAGAGGGGGCTCTGAGCAACCTGATCTAGTTGATGTCCCTGCTCACTGCAGAGGAGTCGGACTAGATGACCTTTAAAGGTCCCTTCAAACCCAAACTATTCTATGATTCTATGATTGTACAATACACTGGGCAGGTGGTTACCACCTCCATAACATCTACTATGCCCCAGGCAGGAGGTTACCACCTCTGTAACATCTACGATGCCCTGGGCAGGAGGTTAGCAGCTCTCTGGAGGGAAACATTTGCCCTCTCCTCAGCTCCATCAGTCCACAATCCAGGATCCTAGCTCCCATCCCCAGCAGAGGCACATTTCTGTTGGACGCCTAGACAAGGAACTGGCAACTGCAAAGCACTTAGAGACAGAGCCCTCAGGCTACAAACGTATTTACTACAACCCAGCAGGCACAGGGTAGCTTCTCACACCACCCGCCTGGAAATTTGCATGTATGTTTTTGCTGCTGTCACCGGTGTGTATTCAGCAAGTCAATTTTACTTGACAATACCACACTGACAGCCTGTGGAGCAGCCAGGAGCTAAACGTATTTCTTGCCACCTCCTGTGTGACACTGCAACTGCAGTAGAAGGTGTTGCCACCTAAAAAAATGTTCCTTTATTCAGCCACTTTGTAATGAAATGCAAACAGAAAATCTCTAGTTGCCTTTAAGTCAAACAGTGTCAAGTGAATTATGTACAGATTAAAGGTACACTAGCTCCTGCAGCTACCCCAAAGGGACTGCCCCAAATACACCGGGACAGTGAGCAGGCTTTAGACTAACAAAGAAGCAGTTAAACTTAATGTGATCCTCTTCTTGCTGCTAAGTGTATCCACCAGAGGCAATGGAGTTTTTAAAATGTTCCTAAATAGGAAGTCAGAATGGTCTAATGGTCAGGAACAAAACAGCAATGCCTTCAGCACTTACATATAGTACCTTAAATCTTCCAAACTCTAAGTAATCGTTAGTTAGCCTAACAGGGGGTCTGTCATGCTGGATACCCTGATAAAGAACATTCAAACATCACTGAGGTCAATTCACCCTTCATCTCGCCAAGACAATGAACTGCACTTAAATTACTTGCAAGTATTTGAAAAACGATTCTATGAAAGGCTTTCCCTGCTCCTCTCAAGACCCCTTGTGGATTCCTGCCCAGGCCACCCCTGGGGAGGGTGCAGGTGGGAAAAGGGTAACAGACCTGCCCAAACTCATGCCAGCAGCCGGTGCCAGAGCATGAACCTCTACCCAAGCCTGCTAGCCCTTCACCAATGGGCCGCCTGCTCATATGTTTATTTTATTCCCCATAAAACGTCCTCCCTCTTTGCTGGTCACAGGGCTAGAGACTTTAGGGCCAAAAAGGCCCGCTTTGACAGTCTTGCCTGATCTGTCAGAGTGCACAGACTTGCAGCTAATTATTAACACCTTTTGACTGAAGGCCTTAAGGAACAAAATAAATTCAGAGACCTCCAATAATGGAGAATTGACATCATTCTTAGTTATAGTTAAAACTGAACATTATTTCCACTTTAAAGTTGTCTAACTCCAGCTTCCAGCTACTAGATGGTGTTCTGTACTTGTCTGCCAGTTTGAAGAGTCCCCTCTTCCTGGGATTTCTCTTC